CCAAACCTGGGCAGAGGGAAGTGTTGGTTACATTCTGGGCCCTGGCAGAGCAATGCTCCTGCAGCTCTCCCGAGTCAGGGTGCAGAGAGACTCGGCTATGGGCAGAGAGGTGGCATCAGGGTATGCAGCTGAGCGACACTTAGGGCCACACGGAGCCTCCCAGCGGTGTCCATTAGCAGGAAGGAGGCCCCTGAGGAAAGACTCCTTACGACTCTCTGGCTCCCTGGGCCGCCGAGCCCCCACAACTAGAGCCTGCAGGAGCGAAGGAGATGCGCACGGGTCCATCCCTGACTGCCAGGGAAGGGGCAGGCTGGGCGGGGGCGGGGGAGTGAGCTCCAGAGCCCCAGCGGCTTAAGGAGCACCTTCCATAGAGGGTGCGGGAGGAAGTGGGGCCGCAGGAGAGGAGGTGCCCCTGCACACTGCCCAGAACACACCCGCCCTCCACGTGTACACAGTCCTCACATATGCACGCAGTCCTCACACATGCACGCAGTCCTCACACATGCACACACGTCCTCACACATGCACACACGTCCTCACACATGCACACACGTCCTCACACATGCACACACGTCCTCACACATGCACACACGTCCTCACACATGCACGCACATCCTCACACATGCACGCAGTCCTCACACATGCACACACGTCCTCACACATGCACGCACATCCTCACACATGCACGCAGTCCTCACACATGCACACACGTCCTCACACATGCACGCAGTCCTCACATACACACGTCCTCACACATGCACGCAGTCCTCACATGCACGCAGTCCTCACATGCACACACATCCTCACATGCACACACATCCTCACACATGCACATACTTCTCACACATTAACACACACTCACACATGCACACATCCTCACACACATCTCACACATGCACACATGCCCTCACATATGCACACGCATACTCACACATGCACACGTCCTCACACACACATACACATCCTCACACATGCACACATCTTCAAGCCTTCACTGCCTCACACACACACATCCTCATGCACGCACACATCCTCACATACATACACACCCTCACACATGTACACACATCTCACACCTGCACATGCCCTTACACATGCACACACTTCTTCACACCTGCACATGCCTTCACACATACACACATCTCACACCTGCACATGCCCTTACACATGCACACACTTCTTCACACATGCACATGCCCTCACACATGTACACACATCTCATACCTGCACATGCCCTTACACATGCACACACATCTCACACATGCACATGCCCTCACACATGTACACACATCTCACTCCTGCACATGCCCTTACACATGCACACACATCTCACACATGCACATGCCCTCACACATGTACACACATCTTCATACATGCCATGCCCTTACACATGCACACACATCTCACACATGCACATGCCCTCACACATGTACACACATCTCATACCTGCACATGCCCTTACACATGCACACACATCTCACACATGCACATGCCCTCACACATGTACACACATCTTCACACCTCCACATGCCCTCACACATGTAAACACATCTTCACACATGCACATGCCCTCACACATGTACACACATCTCATGCATGCACATGCCCTTACACATGCACACATCTTCACACGTGCACATGCCCTCACACATGTAAACACATCTCACGCATGCACATGCCCTTACACATGCACACACATCTTCACACGTGCACATGCCTTCACACATACACACATGTCCTCACACATGCATACGCCCTCACATGCACACACTTCCTCACACATGCACACATCCTCACACGCACACATGCCTTCACTTATACACATGCATGGACAAAAGAGGCCCCAGGTGCTCCAGCACACATGCACACATGCCCTGACACATACATACAGGTCCTCACACATGCACACACTCTCACATGCACACATGTCCTCACATATACACACACATCTTTACACATGCACATATTTCCTCACATGTGCACACACACTCACATGCCAACACACCCTCACATATACACACACACAGACAAAAGGCCCCAGGTGCTCCGGCACACATGCACACATGCCCTGACGCATGCACACACGTACATACATGTGTTCTCCCATGAACACACCCTCACACAGGAGTACAGAAGCCCACTCAGCAGGCAGAGACCTACACGTGGCGTGCCCGTCCTGCTCCCCCACTCTTAGACCATCTCCCGGCGTGCCCGCCCTGCTCCCCCACTCTTAGACCATCTCCCGGCGTGCCCCCCCCGCTCCGCGTGCCCGCCCTGCTCCCCCACTCTTAGACCCTCTCCCGGCGTGCCCGCCCTGCTCCCCCACTCTTAGACCATCTCCCGACATGCCCACCCTGCTCCCCCACTCTTAGACCCTCTCCCGGCGTGCCCGCCCTGCTCCCCCACTCTTAGACCATCTCCCATCTCACACGTCCCCCCACCTCGTCATTCCACGGTTGTCAGGCCCCGAGCCCTGATGGGAAATTTGGAATGCAAGGTCTCACAAGAGACAGCTGCATGTGCACATGCCCCTCTGGAAGGGACTGGGCCATGTGCCCTCGACCACCCACCCCACACCTCGCGCTCCACACTAGGCACTTCCGTCTAAGCATGTGCAGCTCTGTGGTCCCTGCAACATACCAATGAACGTGTGTTTTTGGAGCCCCTTCCCTCCGGCGGGCAGAGCTCTGGGTGCCACGTGTGGGCCCATTTCTCAGTAATGGCAGAAGAACATTTGGGAAGGTATACTGGTTAGAAACTTGGTCTCTAGGGACCGGCAGGTGGCATCGTGGTTGAGACTCTGGATTCCCACATGGCCAACCATGGTTCGAGTCTCAGACCTGGCGGCTCGCTTTCTCTCTCTCCCTCTTCCTCTCTCTCTCTCTGTCTCTATCTGATCAAAATTAAAGAAGAGTGATAATAAATAAAATAAATAATAAATCATCCTTAAAAAAAAGAAGAAGAAGAAGAAACTTGGATTCTGAATTGGTCCCTGCCACCCACCTGCTATGTGACCCTGGGTTGATCATGGCCCTCTCTGGGCCTCGGCATCCTCGCTTGTTAAGTGGGATGAAGATGGTTTCGAACTAGGTGACCAAAAGGAGCCTTCTAGGGTTGGTGGGGGTAAGGATAAAGAGAAGCTGGCCCCAGAAAGGCTTCTGGATGTTCCTACTGGCCCCCAAGGGAGTCTCCCACGGTACTGGGTGCGACAAGGGGGTAGATGGGAACCCTCCCCGCCCCCCGCCAGTCCTCACCCTCGCACTCCCCACCTTGCCTCCCAGGCGGCCCTGGGCCTGCAGCGGCTCTCGGGACCTCTTCAGGTTCGCTGTCACACCATGTCACACGGTGAGGGGAGCCTTAACACCCTGGTCCCTGGGGCCCACTCTGTGCCCTGGCCAAGCCGAGCCTCCCTGTCCTTCCTAGGACAGAGCCGCGACCAGGCACCTTCCAGGTCGCCTTGCTCCACAGTCATCCTGGAGCACATGCCTGCCGGGCCACCAAGCCGGCCATCCAGGCACTCACAGCGGGTGGGCGCTGGAGAGGGTGCCGGGGGGGGGGACCCAAGATCCCAGGGACAGCACGAACTACGGAGAAGGGTCAGGTGTCAGGAGACTTCCTTCTGCACAAGGGGAAACTGAGGCTCAGGAAGAGAAGAGAAGCAAGAGTTCAGACAGAGCCAAAGAAAGAGATGGGCACAGGACAGTCAGGACCCCGTTTAGACCCCTGCCCTCCCCTGGATTGCTGTGTGACCTCGTGCAAGCCACTTAACCTCTCTGGGCCTCACGTGAGTTATGGAGAGGATTAGATCAGCCATTGGAAA